GACGGTGGTCAGCAGCCGGCAGAAGCTGGGGCATGCATTGCATACCAGGATCGAGCACGGGCACATCATGAAATGAGCAGTATAGCATTTGTGTCGAGTCTGCGAGGGGCGTTCGGTGGTTGTCAGCGTTCACCAGAGTCTGAGGGATCGCATTGCGTACTGGCCAGAACAAACATGTTCATCGAAGGCAGTGATGGTCCATGGAGGGCAGACGGCGTAGAATCTGGGAAGAGAAATCGGAAAGTCCGAGAGGCGTGCTGATCGGAGCTCATGCGACGCAAATTGGCGGGTTGCAAGCGCGTGTAGCCAAGACTGGGAGGTGTCTGTGCAGGAAATGGATGTGAGTGCAGACGGAACGTGATGACGGAAGAGGCTCACTAGAAACCAGGTGGACATAGGTGGAGCTGGCAGCGTGCACGCCGCGGGCTGACCTGCGCTTGACGTTCGATGCATCCCTGCGAGATACAAGTGTCAGTATACAAAGAGATGGAAGCACACTCGCCGTGTGCAAGAGTCCCCATCGGGCGAGAGGCACGTTCAGAAAGGGCAGATATCGCTAGGCTGAGGGAAGGGAGAGCGGGTGGGAGGAGGGAATGCAGGTGGGGTTGGCTGGCTTGCATCGCCCTGCTCGTCTGTCCTTTTATGCCTGCTCTCTCCCCTCGTGGGCTGTCCGTCCCTGAGGTGCACGGCGTCCCGTCGGACATCTGCACTTGCATGGCTGAGGGTGTCAGCGAGCACTGGCACCGTGGGCTCGGCGTGCGTCGCACCCTAGAAGACGTCGAAGCCGAAGCGTGCGCGGGAGTTGGGTGGGCTGGACCTGTGGCATGCATCTGTTGAGAACGCGTGGTGATGCCGGAGTAGGTTGTTGAGAATGAATGACTTCTGGGGCGTCTGGAGCGGCGGACATTTGGAAGGCGGCGAAGGTGTCCGGGTCTGGTGATCTTGCTGAGTGGATTATCAGCCTGCGACTCTGCCTCTCTTGAGAACGAGCGTGGCCGGCCGGTGTAGGTTGAGCGTACATGCGATGGTATTGACCTGTGCAGAGCATGACTCGAGAATGTGAGCCTGGCATTATGAACATGCAATACTCACCGCAAAACGATGTCTGGCCCTCATATAAGCAATTGACAATTTTGATGAAACTCATGAAGTTTCAGGCGGAACTGACGCGATGCCGATCTCTGCGTTGAGAATGTCAGCATGTGGTCATGCCACGGTGTACGCACAGCCCTCAAACTGCACCGATCTTCTCGCAATGGATGGATCAGCCAGTGTCTGATTCTGATGCCGCTGCTTCACGCCCACCACGGTCTTGATAACGTTTACGCACACGCATGCTGGGTCTAGCCCAACAAGATGGTCTGAGAGGCTCTGTCGGGACTCTTGGGCGTTGCCGGCATTGTACTGAACGAGACTGCGGCATCAGTTTTTGCAGAAGCAGAATTTGCAGAAGCGCGAGACGGAGAACAAGAGACCTCACCTCCTCTGGAGATGCTTCGCACACGTGTTGAAAGGGTCACCGCGAAGGATTGTCCTTTAGGGTGCGCAGGTCCAGCTGATAGCAGTTGATGAAATCCGAATCGCCTCGTACGCGATGCTCGTGCCATAAGATGAATTCTGCCATGAGAGCTTCTTGGAGCTAGGCCTGAGACTTGACGTACAATGACTTTGTGCGGGAGGCATCTTCTTGGTCCCCGGTGATGCGGCCTCTCGTATTCCCGACGCATCGGAAGACATCCCACCTAACAGCATGTACGATCGCGTTTCTCGGCACTCACTGTAGTGCCATCCAGTCTCGCCGACGTGCATAGAAATGTTCAAGGTCCCATTGGGTCGAACATAACGCTCGAGCGGCATTGGTGCGTAAGGCAGGCAGCATGCTTGTACGGGCCACGTGCATTGTTCTTGAGAAAGCGTTCCGCGTGCCATCTGACCTTGTATCGAATAGATATGGAGAAGACGGACCTTGCAAATAGTATGGGCGCGAACGGGCGAGAAGACTTTCATTAGTGAAACTTCATCCACGGTGATGTGACGTCCGCAAATGTGCCGAGACGGAGGGCGGGTTTGGGGCCTAGCCTGAGGACACTGCCGTTCGAAATGTTAACAAGACTGATATCATTGTCTGCACATCCTTACCAAAGAACAAAACTCACTGTGTGGCCCTG